TAGTGGCCTTCTTGGGGAACACTTCTGATATTAGATCGTGTATCTCAAAGCTTATACTCCTTTTCAATAACACAACGGAGCTCGAACGGTTTGTCTCCTTACTGCTGCTCTGTTACGTAATCCCACATGGAGCTCGACTCCTCGGAACTATTTTGGAAACACATGGTTGACTTTGGTAATAGCTTTTCAGGGCCTTACAGTGTTTTAGAAATTTTGGCCCCAGCTCAGGCGAGAACGACAATTCTGATCTTCTGATTAATCTCTTATCAGTTTTTGGCCCTAGCTCAACACGCACTTTATAACATGTACAGTATAGCTCTCACTAGTCCCCCCCCCATTCAACATCTAAGCTCCTTTGCACTAGGACCTTGCAGTTTTCCTTAGCGCATATGACTTCCTGATTCGAGATCACTGGCTGGTTAGAGTCTTGTGAAATAGTGCGTATTGAGCAGATACTTGGTGTCGGGATAAAATTGCTTTGCCATAACTAGTTCCCAATGCTCGCGCGGCGCCATGCCCCCATGACAAAATCACCTATAAAAAGTCCGATCAGCCGGGGTCGATAGCGTCACGTGAAATGGTGAGGACAATGAGGTCTTCCGTCGCTATTCTGCTTATTTTCCTATTTTCTTTGGCCAGCGCTTTCCAAATGGCTCGAACGAAGTAAGTTACTTTCCACTGGTTCTTCTTGGCGCAAAGGTAGCGTCCTTTTCGAAATTTAAGTGATATTTAATTCGCGCTACCAGAATTTTAATCAGGGTCAGGCATGCATTAGGGGATAATAGCGGATTATGAGGGGTGAAAAAAGAGGGACGTACGCTCCATAAATTGATTGATTACAGAATAATAAACTGGAGAATATAATACCTCCAGTTTTCCTCTATTACCCCCCCCCCACGCCCTCAGCCAGTCTACTTAAAGTTTTCGGTGTAAGACAAATGTCTAAACCAAAACATCTATGTTGAAATCAACCAAATTCGTTTTCTTTTGTTTATTTTAGTTTTCAATATTTTCTCCCTTATATGTGTCTTCATATATGTTTATATATACAGTGCCATCTATTCAGGGACAATTTGATCCCTTTATCGCTCAACTAAGCCTTCGCTGAGCTACTACATCGTATCTTCTGACACGTAGAGCAGCTTCTTTTCATAATCTTCTTTTTCTCCTTCTCCCTTTTTGTAATCTTTTTGTCTCTTACTTCTTAATTTTTCTCTTTCTCTTCCTTTCTTAATCTTTTTGTAAGGATCTCTCTTACTTTCTCCTTTGTGAAAAAATTCGCGAGATGAAAGCTGCTCTTATAAATCTACCTTACGATTTTTTATCGTGGCAAGGTGTGAGTCGGTGTGCTGATTTTCTCCAATTGAAGAGAAGAAAATTGCCTCCCGCATATCTATTAAAATTCTCCACAAGATCGTTGGCCATTATAAACATTACGATCTTTTCAAATTGTAAATCCTAACGCGAGGGGCCCACCTTAAAGATTTTACCGCATGTTGGTAGCATGTAGTCACATTTCCTCAGTTAGATATGTACCATATAGTTATTTACGACGCAGTCTATTCCTATACATATTTTTTGGGCAAAAGTTGTGCAAGCTCTACCAATGTCTAATGTATACAAAAATTTGGGCAGAAGGACGTGACCACACTTCTGTTTACGGGTAGTGCCTATATGTTAGCCCCCGGCGCGATTCACCTTACTCAGCCTTGGGGGGTTCGATTCTCGTGGGGCGAAGTTTGCCTCACAAGACAATTCTCGTGAATAAACACATTTGCAATGCGAACTCCGGCTCTAACCTACTGTTAACGGAACAAAGCTGTCAAATTTTTTAAACTAGTTTGATTCCTAAGAAATGTTTGTTCTTTCTAATAGGGATAGAGTAGACTGCACATTTCTGAAGTTATTTGGGGATGGTGCTAAGCAAGAACGGCTTTTCCGCTTCTGCGCGAAATTTTCTCTTTCAAGCTCAGACTATACTTGACTAATTTAGTCGTCGCGTTTCCATTATGAACTGCTATTGCATGTGGTAGTGGGTGTGGGTCGCTAGGACGTGAAACGCTTTTCGTGTATTTGTTTTCAATCTGAATTTCCTTGGTAGATGTCATATCGAGAGACTTCTTCGATGCTTCGTCATATCATTTCATTGCATTCATACAACTTTGCTACCCCAGTCATCTGCAGAGTTTTCCAAGATCAACAAATGGGTCATGTATTGCTTTCGAATTTTGCCTGAACTAAATATTCCCGCAACACATATTCTGTTGGTTGTGGATATTTTGTTAAAGGAACCCTTCTAAGAAAATTTGAGCTTTTTTTAATCTGATTATGTCAGTTATCTATAGGACGACAACAATTTACGGCACAAAGATAGTTTCAAAGAAGACACTCAAAAACCACTCTCTATGACAATCGAATTAATGTCGGGCGGACCAGGTGGGCTGGATTAAGTTCGCTATGGGCTAATACTATCAGGGAACGCAATTGAGAACGTTAGGCCGTTGCGATTTGAGAATTCCGACAGCATATATAGGCTAGAGTAGAGTAGAGTTATGAATGTGAATGCAATAAGCGAATAGGCAAGAGTTTCGGAAGACTCGCGAGAGTAGAAGCGTTCCCTGCGCATTTATGACAGGTCAAGCGGCATTTAAACCGTAATGGAGCTCTTCACTTTTTCGGATTTTATAAAATACTGTAATTTTTTTGTTCTTTTCTTTATTATCGGGACACGGGTTTTACGCCAGTGATTTAATGCGTGAGATGAAAAATTTGTCCGGGAGTATTTCTTTCAAGAAAAGAGAATAATCCTCCAGTGATGTCTACCAAACGAACTCCGACGTTCTTGTCAATCCTGCTTTGATTCATGTCCTATCACTTGACGTACTCCACTTGTTGAGAGAAGGAAAACTTACTAAAGGGGGGAAGCCCAATAAACCTTCAAACTACTCCATAAAGGTACCGGAGAGCATTCGAATGTGTGTGGTGTTTCAAATAAATTTATTGATACCGTACACTTTACCTGCATACTTTCAAATTTCAGTTCACCAAATATTCTATTGTCGATAAAGGTGAAATAGGAAAAACGCAAAATTGAAAAAATTACCGTAATGGGATGAAAAATTTGGTGTACAGCAGAACCTTTACCTTTGGCTTCATCATAGCCATGCTCAAATCAGCTTCAACTGCTATTGGGCATCGCAGGAGGAAAATGGGCGCAGAACTGGTTTAGGGTTATGCTTGATTTCTGAACACGCATTTACGCAATAACGTCCGAAACACCATTAGGACTGATAAAAAATAGGTCTTAGGAAGTCGGAAAACTCCGAAGTGCGTGAGCAATTCCAATTTCTCTTGAAATTCCTCTTCCTCCCAGGATTAGTTCTAGTGGCCGAAAGTGGAAAAGTAGTGCCAATTTGCAAAAAAAAACGAATGAAGAAATGCGGGATCCACAAAGAGGAAAAATAAGCGTCACAACACTCACTGCGAACAATGCGCGCCTACCGTGTTCAGAATTAAGCCCATCCCTCAGAGTTTTCCACTAGAATCTACTATAACCATGTCATTTAACCACTTCCTTAATTGTTATCAAGAAGCCATGATTGAGATTTTCCTAATTGATTAGGTATCCTTTTTCTTTTCGCTATTAGTCAAAGGGTGAAAGTGGTGCAGCACCGGCAAGCGGCTTACCCTGCGCACGGCCAGCTGATCACTCTCACAATGGATTAGTCGTCCAAGGATCATCTTTTATCCCCTATTGCAAGGGGAGTTTGCTCAAGAAATGGTCAAAAGAGGCTTGAAAACGTAAGAGCCAGTGCTTTTATTAACTGGACCAGGTCAACGATATCGGATTAAAAGGCTGCGTTACCCTAAGATTAGTCCGATCTCTGATTTGACATAGGATTGTGAGCAAGGTTAGTTATACGAATTACGGTTCCTAGCACCGCTATGAACCGCAATACAAGTACAGTAGACAATTTGGTGCAATACAAGTAGGATGGGCACGCCGTATTTCTTGAATACGGTAGGAGCGAAATCTGTGTATTTGGGGCTATGACGTGACAAAACGCTAGGAAAAGACTCACATATTCCAGCTTTTCACGCATGGCAAGTGACTGAACTCACCCCTTCAAAAAAATACGGCCCATCCCACTTGTATTGCACCGACAAGTGAAGCAAACATCTGCATTCAAGTCAACACTTTAATAAGGCGCGTCATATGGCGACGCCGGACTATTTTTTATTTTTGTGATATTTCTAATAACCTAAAAATACCCGTGTATCTCAGCAATGAGGAATAACATGTTTTTCGAAACTGAACAGATGGCATACTTGATAAATTTACAATTTTCATATGTCATATGCTTTCTTTTTCCTAGTGACTTACCCATGGTCTACACATTCCAAAAACCCTTTCCCTGAGAATGCCCAATTCCCTCGGTCAGGGTTGTTGCTTTGCACTGTCCGAAGACGAGTAGAGTCCTGTACGGATTTGTCGTCGCCGTGGATTTCTTCTTTTGAAATATCAGACACGGGAACATGCTTCACCTCCGATGTTCGCGCAAGCCTACATAACTCCTACCTTGTGTGGTGGAGTGCGCCACATGGTGGCGCACGCGCGAGTTACTCTTTCGTAAGTTACGGGTTAAGCCTTGCTTTCACTTTATTAGAGCAGTAACCATTACAATAAAAGATTACAAAATCAAACTTATTAAAATAACATTCCGTAGAATGTCATACTTCGTAGAGTGAGTGGATATCGATTAAGGCAGAACGACCTGAAATTGAATTTATTGATTTGATTTCGTTTGTAGTAAAAGGGAACATATAAAATTTGAACGATGTCTGTTTTTCAGCACAAGAGCTAAACGTCAAGTCTACGGCTTAGGTCTAGGATATCCGTCCGGCTACATCTACGGTAATCCGTACACATTTGCCACGTATCCGTACAGCGGCTTGAACGGATTGTACGGTAGCGGTTTGTATGGCGGTGGTTTGTACGGTGGTTACGGCGGTGGATTAGGTGGTATGTATGGTCTCTACGGAATGCCTTATGGTGGATTGTATGGAAAGAAATAGCTAGTTTAGTCATTAATTAAGTGAATATTGATTACCTCAAATCGATCGATATGTATGCTTTTTTCGTGACCTGTACCGTACTTTTTTACGCTTTTTGTTGTATATTCAATTGCATCTCTCATCTCTTACTTCGATATAAAGTTCTTCTGCTTTTGTCATCTTGTTTGGGTCACGTTGAGGAGATCTGAGCGCAGCAGAGAAACGACGCAGTGGTCGAGGACGGTAGGCACGTGAATCCAAACGGACATCTGTAATAATCATCTATCGTCAACAATTCGCCGGTGATTTGGCATAATCCGTCCAAATAACGCGTTGTCGTAACTGGCACCGCTGATATTTGAGGAACAGTTGCCCGCTGAAAGTAAGTCAGTCAGGAGTGGTGGTCGACATAACTCGGGAGTTTTGCCAAATAGGGGTGGGGTGAGAAGGAATAACAGGGAAAGCCGTGATTGAAGAGCTGAGGTTTTGGATATAGTCGGAGAACTGCGAGAATCAGGATAAATCTAGCGGAAAGCGCTGACTCTAGAAAGTGTTGTAGCACATCTTGCCACGTACATGGAAAAGTGTCTGGGATGGTAAGAAACGCTTGTGAAAACGCCAAAATACGCTATTCCTAATATTCTTTCCGCGGTTTCTCCAGTTCTCCGGTTCCCAATTCTCAGATCTTCGTGATTAAGACGTGTCTGTTTCTTTTCGCGCAGTATAATACGACCTTACGGTTAGCGTCATGCGAAGAAGGGTGTGCCAATGGCGAACGTTGTGAACGTTAGGGATCCCTCGACAGGGGGGCCGTATTCAAGTCTGTAGTGATCGGGTTATTTTGGTTTCGTGGAAGAATCACGGAAGACCGTGGTTTGGCTAGAGTCTTGGAGGTTTTTTTTCTGGAAAGATTTTTTGAAGAGCTTTGGCAATTTTGCGGGAATCTAAAAAGTTTTTCCTGTTTCAAATATGCTATATTATCCTCATAAACTATGTTCGTCGATTCAGTGCCCGAATAATTTCACAGTGCGGTACATTTCGAACAGGATTTTGATTCTAGTTTTCAGTAGAAGGAAAACTATTTAGTTCAATCCCGTCGTAGCTTATAGGCGGTGTTCATCCTCCATGACTGAGGAGGATTGGAGATAAGGAGGTAAATAAAAAGATATGTTTTGATAGAAACGCTTAGGAATCTAGTAGATCAGGAAACGAGAGGATCAGGATATTCCGGTGAGAAGATCAAGTAGCTATTGCTTGAAATCGCTGGAGAGTATTAAATCATGAGATCAGGATACTACTATATAACAGGATAGCGAGATCAGGAGATGAAGAGGTAAGTATTAGGTCGGTCAAAAAGTATCCGCCGTTTTGCACCTCGAGTTAGTCCCCTGCATTTTTTGATAGTTTCTTTCGCAACTATTCAAACAACTTGGGTGTCATCTTATAGAGGAAGATCAGCCCTTTCATATTCATACGAAGGTTTGAGGTGATTCCGAGAACATTTGTCGTTTTACCCTCCTTTTCAGGCTATGCAAAATCGTAATTTTCGGCTGTTTGCCACTTCATGTCTTCAAACTTGAGACACTGTAAGACACACCAGGATCAGCTCGTAATATGGTGACTGATTCAAGAATGAATGCCACCTGCAAATGCACAGCGCGAGATTTATTCGTCAGGTGTGAGCCTTGATTCAACTATGAATGCACCTATCAATGCACAGCGGCGGAGATTTTTCCTCAGAGGTGGACTGCGAAAAACGAAGGCCGAAATAGTGACTCGATACGTGGAAGGAAGCCCTACATACAGGTTGGATGCAAGAGATATATATATAACCACAAGCCTATGGGAGCGAAGACGTCAGTTTCTAAAGACACTCGTTGACTGGGCGCCTGAGGCCGCCATGAGACAAGAGTAGGAAACGTGATCAATCTGTTTCATCGAATTGATTCATGCTCAGCAGCTCGAATCGGTTGCGGACCGTGCACGGAGCGTTGCGCGTTGAATCTTCATGCGCAGCAAGGTAATAGTTATTAGCAATTGATTAGGATAGATATCAAACTGTGGTTTTATTGCCTAATAAGGACTTACTAAATTGTCGTGGTGGGCAGACGATTAAGTGCCTTGAGCGCCAGCCGACAACTTGACAGTCCTAATTAAGTGCAGGATCATCTCAGTCTCCGCATGGCACGCCTGTTACAAGTCGCAAGGCGCGTCAGCCGACGCGATGAGGGAACTTGCGGTAAATACTGAGAGCATAATGGTAGAAATGCGCGATGATTATCTTGCCTTAAAGGACGAATTCATGATTTGAATGAAAGTTGAGGAAGGAGTAATCCACTTAGTCGGGACACCCAGACCTCCTAAGGGTGCGGACTGGAGCGCGATTGGCCCAAAAGCAGTTGACCTCGGCGACTTAGTAAGGCTCATTCTTGGCGCGATGAGCCGTTGCCGCCACGACAGCTGATCCGCGGCCGGTCATGCGTGCCGTTGCAGACTTCCGATAGATAGCAGAGAGAGCGTGATGTTGAGTAGGGCACAGCGATAAGAGTCGCATCAATGCGCAAATCAGCGGGGAAGGAAGGGGTCCCATTTCTCGGGTTCTGGGCCGTTTCTCATGGTTCTTCCTTCTTTCGTGTATTCACCACATCCTGTAGGTTACATCTTGGACCTGCCCGGCCTGTTGCTTTTCATCGTGAATTCATCCTTTAAGGGACAGAAGGAGTCCGATCCTTCGCCACGACGAGCGCTGAACGGCCCACCACAAATGTCCCGCGTAATGAGAAAAGTGTCTGTCTTGGAGGTTTTACTGTCGTCTTAATATAGCCATGTAAATGCTCGTGCCATGAACTATCAATTCCCCGCTATTCAACGTAATTCCTTGAAGAAATCGTTTTAAGAACAAGAGTATGTCAAAAACATTCCGACTTAAGCTTTAAGCCTACAGTAATTTAAATTTTTATCAGAAGATGTTGAAAAGCAAAAGGTTGTATTTCAGCAGAGTGGCCATGTGCATCTCTCAAGTTGGCGAGCTTTCAGACGCGCGGACACTAATTTTGACCGACCCTATATAATTCAGCGCAGAAGATGTTGGATCAGATTTGTTTGGGTCTGTATCTGACAAGAAACTTGAACCAGCATACAACCTCACGTAAAGTTGCATTGTCGAGATTTGTTTCAGTTTGTGGGGTGCAAATGACCACGAGGCAGTCATCAATGTTCGCAGGTCGCGTGGCGAATAGCTTGTGCGCCAATGGGCGACGGTCTTTGAAAGTGAACTTCTAACGCCATTTAAGGATCTAATCTTTGGACTTACATCGCCATGTGATTACGGCGAGGGATAAGGGTAGCGATAGTTAGGTATGTGCTCTTCATCAATTTGCATTGCCGGTTGGCGCTAAGGAACCTCACTCTAGACGCATATTTACCTAATCGCTGCTTACCCACCCTTACGTGAACTAGGACTATTGCTTCAACACGTTGACGACAGCGCGGCAAACATGGTCCGCGTATGGCAGGCCATGACGTTCCGTGCGGGATATATGTTTCCCGCACCCCCCCCCTCGTTTCTTTTCGTGGACGCTCGATGTTTTCTCAAGTTTTTTTTGACTATCGACGCTTGTTCTTAATTCTATTTGGGTCCTGGTCTATAATTACTGTCGCAATTTCGACACTTTTGTTTATTCAAGTTTTATCTCTTCTGGGAAACAACTGACTAATAGCATAACCACCATCATGGTCACTGATATGCGTGCATTTACTAGTGGGCGTTTGGAAGCTTCCAGCCCAGAATGAAGGAAACTGGGGGTTGAAGAATTTGGAGAAGTCGTTTTTGGGGTGACCGCAATCTTTAACTTTCTTCTCTGGCAGATGCTTATTCAAAGCGCAGGGGAGGCGATAGTCCGATAGAGCGATGCCAATGCTATATGGTGGATGAGGTATCGTGGACCTGGCTGTTTCCCTCAGAACGTGGTGAGTTGGCATTGCAATGTGAGGTCTGGTGTACATTCGGAGGAAGGAGGATCTGAGACGTTTCTGACGATTCTCTCGCAACCCCAAAGCCAGCCAAGAGGGCTATTCCGCGCTGACTTCAGCAATGCTTGTCTTCATACATTGAAGTGGTTCCCAAACCAGGCCACCTAGCGAATCCAATAAAACGAGATCGATATTCTCAGAAAACGGAGTTCGGGCTTTGGTTGAGCTGGTGCTTCCTAGCTGCGAGGCAGCCATAAGACGTGCCGCATGTTGTTGTCGCAGTGGACTCTTGACTCATTTCCACCGGTGACCGATTAGGGAAGACTCTGCTTTTGCCATCCAAGAATGGGTTTTCCCCAGGTGATCAGGCGTGCTCCCGCTCATGGTCGGCCGGACCATAAGGTTTCCATCAAAACTTCACTCTGCAGCAGTCTTTGCCATACTGATGGCCAGTGCTGGTGCATCGGCTGCGCTCAGGTATCTGCTACAATACCATGGTAGCAACGTGCGGAGCATCAAGTAGGGTTTGTAAGGGGAATAAATATGACGCAGGCCCAGGGCGCGTGCTGAGGTTGAAGTTATAGCTCGTTTCCTTTTGCCGTTTGTGATGGTTCTACTAGCTCAATACCCTATCAGTAGCAGAGACTGAGTCAAACACAGCGCTGATCTTCTCTGGTTTCCTCCTTGCTACAGAGTTCATTTGAGGATCGTAAAGCATAATCATTGATTGCAGTCACTGACCTATTTTTATTACTAGTTGATTAACCCGTTAAGGGCTTGCGCTTCCGAAACCACGCTGTTAAGGCACTTGAAGCATACTTCAACATACTAACGTATTTCGCAATGAAACGGTCTTAGACGGAAGGAATTTGAAATTGAATAGAAATGCGACAGGAATTATGAGACAACCCAATATATATCGAATATTATTAGATCACAAAGTACCCCCAAATGTTCGGTTGGTAAAGGTTTTCAAAAAACATGAGACTTTGAACTCAGCTCTAACTCACTCTAACACTTGAAGCAGAATTCACGATGGAGAATCAACC